GGGAAGAGCAGTGACCAGGCAGAGCCAGTCTTTACCTGACAGGGCTTGGAAAGGCACTTCAGGTCTTCTTCATCTGGAGATATTTTGTCTCAATGCTTCGAATCACCTAGAATTATACACCTCTACCTTCCAGACCCAACCCACTGTGAAGGATGGGACCCTGCTGAGCTCAGTGCCACAGCTCACCAAAGCCATGTCTGGAGGACAGAGAAAGCACATCCTTGGCTCTTCTTCTGCCCAAAAACCACATGGTGTTGGCACTAAAATAGCACATTCCCATCTGTTTATACCAGGCATTGCTGGGACATCTGGCAGGGTTTGACTGTGTGGGACTAATGGATAATGGACCTAGAAATGATCCAGAAATGATGCCATTTTCTGCATCCCCCAAGCTCTCCTGGGAGCAGAAGGAACCACGTGTCTCTGAAGTACTTTGGTGGCACCTGGAAGCTGCTCCAGTGAAGAGCAGAGTCACTGAAGTGCCCTGAACGTGTTGGTTGCCTGGGGATCAAGTGCTGTGAAGGATGAGTCTTGTGGCAAAGCTCAACCTCATGGGAAGAACATGTAAGCAGGGGAGGGGGCACTTGGTGCCAGTGCCACTGGGACCTGCTGCTGTGCATGTGCATGTCTGCATGTGGGAATGCTTCTGAATCATCCCCTGGAGGTTTTCAGGCAGCTTGTTGCAGTTTTCACATTTCCCCTCCACCTTTCAAGCTACCTCCTGGGCCTCCTCTGAGCCCCACCTGCTGAGGGTCACCCCTGCCTGGTGATGGGGAGCTGGGCAGGATCCTAGGTGGCAAAAAACTCAGCTGGTTGGGCAGTGAGAAGATCAAATCATTGAGAACATCACGGGGCAGAGTGGAGAAAGCAAAGTGTTTGTGGGTAGTAAAAAAATGAGATCTGTTTAGTGGGTGATTCCCAGCTGGTGCCACCAGCCGTGGAGGGACCAGGCAAAAGGAGAAAGCAGCTTGTGGGGTCCAGCAGTGCCATGAGGAATCACTTGTGGGGAAACAACAGGGCACTATGAACTGCACCCCCATCCCTGGATTACCTTCCCCCTCCCCAGCAGGACCTCACAACTACCTTTCATGAACTTGGTGGAGATCTGTGGTTGTGAGCAGCTGAGGAGCAGACCTGGCTTCTCCTCCCCATTGTCCCTTTAGGGCTGAGCTGTAGCTCTCCAAGGCAGGAACCCACACACAAGGACCCCCCCTGAGATCCAGGTCGTGGTGGCTGTGCCAGGCCTTCCCAGTTGGGCAGCAGCAGTTCAGTGTCAGCAGCTGTGGGGTTGTATCCCACAGCTCCAGGAGTTCTGATTGACAAGCAGGAGCCAGTGTGTGCCCAGGTGGCCAAGAAAGCCAGTGGGGAGGCCACAGCTGGAGTGTTGGGTCCAGTTTGGGCACCTCAATTCAAGAGAGATCTCGAGGGGCTGGAGCCAG